AGGTGACAGATGATAGATACTACAGACCCAGGATCCATAAAAGTCAAATGGCTATTTGCTTCGATTGCTGGAAATTGAAAAAGATCACTGATGTAAAACCAAAAAAAACATATTTCGGTGGATGGCGCAGATATGGATATGAGATTAAATCCGAGGATTTGATGAAATACCATTGGGATAATGAATGTTCCAAAGCTAAAACTGAGAATGGATATGCTGAACTTATTCAAAGAGCTTATAGAAATTATAGGAAGAGGCCTGTTTCATTGGCAAAACAGATTTGGGAAGCGGTTAGAAATGATAATACTCCTAAGGAAAAGAAGTTCCTTTACATGCCTGGTAGAGAAATTCATTGTACTGTAAATATGAATATATGGTATTCTATTGATGGAGGGTATAGACCTTATCATGTTTCGTAAAATTAACTTTATGATTATATAAGTTATTCAAAGCATAAGAGATGCCAATTATCTGATAGATTGTCCATAGTAAGAAATAAAATACAATGCAACTATATCATGTCTAATGGGTCTATTAAACCCAAAAATATTGTGCCAATTAAGTCTATAAAAACCAAGAGCTTTACATCTAATTTGATTAATGAGCCATGTTCATTGACTCCTCCATTACCACCAAAGCCTTTTGCATTAATTCAGCATAGTGCAAGTGTGCTTAGCTTTATTGATGTTGATGAGTACTGGGCTTCTGTGCAAAAAAAATATAAGAAAGGCGATAGACTTAATATCTTTTGACTGAATAATTATTAACATTATCTATCTCAACTATATTTAGCCTTTATTTTTTTTTGCTATATAATCTGCCTGGTAAAATTGTGAAATGTACTACCTGTAGGATAAAAAACCTGATTTTCCTATTCTGGGTTAGATCCTCTAATATATAACTATTTTAGTGAAGTATTTCAGGAAGATCTATGAAGCAGTCTTGGGGATTCTTGATTGCGAGACAATACAACTATCAGTTTGAGAATTTCTATGCAGTAGTTATCTAGCGAGCTTACAAGAATTATAAAAAAAGACCTGAGTCTTTAGCAAAACAGGTTTGGGAGGCAGTGAGGAATGATGGTATTCCTGATAATAAGAAATTTTTAGATATTGTTCCTCGTGGTAAAACATATCATTTCATTAATGGAAAACTAATAGAATCTAATTATGTGAGTGACCGATTTTATGTAGAAAATAAGCATAACATTTATTTTGCTGATACTTGAGTAGAAGCAAAGAAAAATCAGTTATATAGATGATTATGTACTATAGCATACATAGCTACTTTTAGAGTATTATATCAGCAAGGCTATATAGTTATTAGAAATACAGGCTGGTCTGATATGTTAAAATGGTTACAGAATCCCAAATATTATCATATTAATAAAAAATATAACTTTGAAAACATCATCAGAATTTCAGATTGCGAGAAATATAAAGGTAAATCGACAGAAATACAAAGAATATGCCGATTCCTACCGTTAGAATTCCTATACTATATTCACAGAAAGGATGTTACCGTGAATTTCTTAGATTTGGATGATAATTGTGAGTTTGTGTGTCAAATTTTCTAGATCAGTCCTTGACCCAGATTCCGAATATTGTCTTAATAAAATAATATATTGTCCAGTCATAATGCATGTTGGCATGTGCGACATAAATAAAATGTGTTCCTGATCCTCGTTAAAGTATATATGATGTAATATGTGATAGTTCGCAAATCATCTATGAAACTATACTTGTGCGACAAAATAATTTCACACATAAACTGATCCCTAAAATATTTAGAATTTTTTCCCTATCTATCTGAATAGCATTTATTTATGAGTTTATTTCTTCCGAAACATTGCGTTGCTATAGGCTATTCCTATTAGATTCTGACCAGAGTATATTTATATAATGTTACTAGGCCTTTATTACTGAGCGGTTGAGCAAGTGAAATAAAAAAAGTATATATATGCATATTCCCCAACATCTTTACAATGTTGAGATCTACAATGCATATTCCGCATGTCTTACTCTTAAACATAAAATTTTGGCGTAAAGTATCTCGCATAATTCTCCTATCTCTTTTCCCCAACATGAATGCGAGTTAGAGACATGAATAGAGATTTAAAAGGGCAAGTATATAGAAATAAAGTTATTCGTTACTTTTTATTTTTTCCAACATGAATACTCATTTATCTACTAAAATTTATAATTTCTTAGTAAATGCAGAAGAGGAGCATATTACTGATGCTTCCGTTATCTATCAAGGGATTAAAGATGACCCATGGATATCAAAGGATGAGTTAAGAAATATTATATCTCAGGCAGTAACTCTCGCAAATAGTCAAAATGTTCGAGGTTCTTCACGTCATACAACTCTCCTAGAAATTCTTTCAGAGGTAAGTTGATGACAGCTTCCTATAAAATATTAATTTTGGATAATGAAGACGCAGACAGCGATGTCACTAAAGAAGAGGGCATAATAGTTTAAATTCCCTATAGCTTGCCAACAGGATTTTCCTTGACAGCAGGAGGGTTCTTTAAACTATATATATATACTTAATTTTGTGTTGATATTTTAGCATTGCATAAGTTTTTTGTTTGCATGATGGAGTAGCTAACCTCATAAAGACGAAATCTTGTTTACAATCTGACAGCGCATGCGCTTCTGGAAATAATATTATTTGTATGGGTATAAACTAATTACTTTATGTCTGCATTAGTTTAACATTTCATATAAAGCTATTTTTAGTTTGCGAGCCATTGGAATTGTAAAAGTAAATGAAGAAGAACTTCTTAGTTCAGCTCAAATCAGAAGCAATATAAATAAGTTGAAATCTAAACTTAAAAAAAACACTTCAACTCTTTATCAAAATTTGTTCTCAGCCGTAAATCAGATATCTACAGACAAATTAACATAGAAGGTTTCGCTGAGAAGTCAAGTTATTACAGATGAATCAGATATAATAAAGAAGTTGCCAAAATAATTACGTGAAAATTTTATGGTAGGCATTCATTAAATTAATAAATAAGAAATATAATTCTAATCCTAATCTGTTATTAGAAACCGGCACGAAACATAGTGCTTACTACTCTTCTGACGTTTATACGAAAGAAATGTAATGAATTTATACGAGATTTTGCTAATCATAATACTAATAAATTACCCCAAGCACTTTTACATAATGGGAGGTGGAAGAAATCTAACGAGAAACTTGCTGAGATTACTGATAGAATCTTGGAAACGCTGTAAGTTATTTCACTATTGTTGGATTGCAATTACGGGTATATTTACCTTAGAAGAGATAATTTCATTAGGAATGATTCTTGGAATAATTTAGCATTTAGTCCTGAAGAAGCTGAAGCATTAAATGAAGGAACATATCTAACAAATTTGATAGTTCCAGCAATTCAAGCTAGTTTGAAAAATCTCTCACATGAGAAATTCACCTATATTAGCACGTAAGTAGAATAATATTATATAAGACGAACTATTATAAATTTATTTACACTATTTTTTTTTAGGTATGAGCGTCAGAGTATCGCTAGTGCAGATAGAAGAAAACATTCAGAAAAATGCCCTGATATCATATTTGTAATGATGGATAGAGGGAAAAAATATGAACTTATGTACACAGAGTGCTCGCGTCTATTTTGTACGGAATAAAAAATAAAAGACGATGCAGTAAAAATATGGCACAAGACTAATGATGGAATGTATTGGGTTTATAAAGGTCAGAGGCCTGAAAAGGATGAATTTGGAGTAATTGGGTTGCAAGTTGCTGGATCCACGTTACGATTAACTGTTCTTATCAGGGATAGAGCTAATGTAGATAGATATTATCATTTACACAAATCAAGGGTTCCTGTGTAAAAGTCAGAACTAGCTGTTATAACAAAATTTATAGAGACTTTATTAATCTTGCGTAATATTTTGATAGTCAATATGTCCTTACTCCCTCATGGGTCTACACCTAAATCAGATAGATAGAAAGAAGATAGTACGACTGTAGATTCTGAATAAGTCATGTATATATAGTAAAATTGTACTTTAATTTTGTATTAATAAATCTGACCCTGGCGGTCAATTTCATAAATATACATTCATATTTTTTCGTGTGAGTTAGCGTGTATCAGATAATTAATTTTATAATAAAAATTTTCTTGGCAAATTTGCGGGACTATGCGGTCTCAGAAAATACGTGATTTTTTTTTAATATTAACATACTAATACTACATTACGCAAGCATGCAATATGAAATAGATGGTCCCAGTGAGACGAAACAATGCATTAGTGAGCTTGAGGCCGAAAATGTTGAACTTAAGGCCAGAGTTGCGAAATTGGAAGACAAGCAATCGCAAAATGAATTAATAAAAAACTTGTTATCTGTATCACGAAAATATGATCATGTATTAATTTGGCGAAATTTCAGCCAGGGCACCCCTGCCAAAATGATCTTTTCTTGTTGACCAATAATCGGGTGTCATGTGCATATTTGATCAGAGCTTTCTAGCAGATCTCTCGCGATATTGACGCGTAAATTTCTCAGAATTCTTTGAATTTCCTGAATGTGTAGAATTCTTAAATTCTCAAAATTTCTGAATCTATAAAATTCTCAATTTTTTTATTATTCATAAGATATGACTGGTATACTAACACCATCTTTTCACGTATATTACTCAAAGCAACTTAACCAGCTTCCTCATTTCATCAAAATAGATATATAGCGTCATCTTACATCACAAAAACATCTATTATCGCTAGAACAGGCAAGTAGTATTCATCTCGAAGTGGAAGATTTGTTAAATAAGGCGGTTGAAAATTATATTAAGCAAAAAGAGCGTCAGAAGATGAAGCCTATTACCAGTGACTGTGAAAATTTGTTAAGAAAAGAAAATGAGGAGTTGTGTATATCAAAGCAGGTATTGGAAAAAAAGATTAAAGAGCTTTTTGACTTGCAAAAGCAATATAAGTCTCATGAGGTAGCTATGATCAGGTTTTTGAAGGTGAGTGGTGAAAAAGTCACCCAATTATCAGATTCAGTAGCTATCTTCAAAAGTATAATTCCTGATATAAAAAAAGCTATTGCGTCTGCCGAAAAATCCATTGACATGTTAGAGAATAAATGCCAGAATCTGGAGGATATAGGGGCTAAGCTATTAAAATCACCTTACAGGATAAGAAATTGATTTTGAGTAAATGATGATTAAAAAATGCTACACCACAGTAAACATTTCCAACCAATAATAAATAGTTCTATTTTTAAATATTGAGTCAAATTATTTAATTATTTAAAATTTTACTATTAATTCTTATTTTATAAAAATTATTTTACAGGATTAATACTTGAATACAATTTCGTATCGGAGGTGGTTAACTCTATCCTAAATAGATTAATAGAGAATAAATAAGCTAGTAGCTCAAAATTTTTGAATTTAATAATTG